ATTTATCATACGGTAAACACCATTTTTACAATCGATAATACATGAGGGCAATACAATAAAATATTTATAAATATATATAAGTCAGATTCAGATTCATCTTGCTGAAAAAAAAGATTGCTAACATGAAAAAATGACACCAACAGAATTGTCCAAAAATGCTTTAACAAAAATTGGATCATGCGTATTATAAATCCTAGTTAACAAGCATAAACATTTTTAGAGAAAAATACGATTACCAAAACTAGATAACAATTGATAAATATTTCAATATAATAACAATAACAAGCAAAAATATAAATATATTTGACAGACAAGACAAAAAAAAGAGAAAAAATGACAACAATTAATAACAGTGACGTAAACTAAGTGAAAAATTTTAACAGTGCAATACAAATTTATCTGAATGTGCAAACAACAAACAAGGTGCAAATTCCGGACAGTGATCTCAGGACAATTTCTCATCAACAAAATAACAATAACAATAACAACTTAAACTATGATACTTTTTATGGCTTTCAGTTTGCAGGTGAACACGTCAACATGTTGGCATGCTTGATTTCCAATTCTGTGTAGCCGTGGAATTGTACTGTGGAAGGCGTAGTTTGTAGAAAAAGAAGCTTTGTTGAAGAGTTGAATGTGCCTGAAGTGTCGAGGAACGTGGAAATTAATTAGGCGAAGTATTTCTGGAGCATCAACTTCGCCGTTCAACAACTTCCAGAGGAAAGACAGGTCTGCAGATTGTCTACGGTCACTCAGTCGAGGAAGGCCCATATCGATGCGAATATCTTCAATCGGCACTGTATAGAATTCATGGCCCAACTTGACGCCAATAGAGCGAAGAAAGCGATTCTGAATTTTTTCTACTCTTGATATGTGGCTGATTTGATGTGGATTCCATATCAAGCTGCCATATTCCAGCACAGGCCTAACCTGAGTCATGTAAAGAGTTCTCAGAGCATTAACATCAAGTCCGTATCTACCACATCTAATGACAAAACCTAGAGCTTTAGAGGCTTTATTGCAGATTGTATTTATGTGCAGATCTGGGTTTAAATCGTATGACATTAAAACTCCTAGGTCTCGTATGGCATTCTTCCGTGGCAGGATGGCATTATTCATCGTGTAGTAGAAGTCAATACGCTGCTCGGTACGGTGATAAGATACCACTGCAGACTTTGAAACATTGATATCCATGCTGTTATCCAGGCACCAGTTGTCGATTGAGTGCAAACATTGTTGAAGGGTGGAACAGTCTGCCTGAGATTTTATACACTTGAAAACCTTGATATCGTCAGCAAACAGCAAGCACTGAGAGTCGATACTATCCACAACATCGTTAACAAATATATTGAAAAGAAATGGACCTAGATGAGAACCCTGGGGGACTCCAGAAACCGCAGGGAAAGGGATTGACTTGGCTCCTGCAAACTTGACAGCTAAGGTGCGGTCTTTAAGATATGATTCAAACCATCGCAAAAGGCTTCCGACTATGCCATACCCTTTTAATTTTGCCAAAAGATGGTCGTGGCTGATGCAGTCGAATGCTTTACTAAAGTCAATATAGATACAATCTAGTTGCTCCTTGGATGAATATGCTGTGATTATGTGATGTTGCAAAATAAGAAGATTAGTGTTTGTAGATCTACCCTGCATAAAACCATGCTGAGCCACACTTAACAAGCTCTTGAAGGGAAAACTAATTGCATCAAGAAGGAGACTCTCAAAGATTTTTGCGAGTGCAGGCTGAATCACAATGGGTCTATAGTTTTTTACTTCCTCTTTAGACGCAGACTTGTGTATTGGTACTACGAAGCCCATTTTAAATTCAGCAGGAAATACACCAGATGCTAAGCTGTCATTGTAAAGAACAGTTAGCTGGGGAGCAATGAGTTCGCTACAGTGTTTTAGAACGGATGGAGGTATTTCATCAGGCCCGATTCCTTTGTGAGGATCCAGTGACTTCAGTTTCTTCAAGACATCTTCAGGGGATAAGACGCAAGATGAAATGTTGAGATGAGTGTCGAATGAATACACTGGTGGTGGAGTTGAAGGTTGTCTATATACAGAAGAGAAATAGTTTGCGAATAGATTACATGTTTCAGCTGGATCAGACGCATGCTGTCCATTGAATGTATAACTGCATGCCGAGTCTCTATCACGCTTCATTTTGTTTACAAAGCTCCAGAAGATTTTTGGGTTACTAGGCACAGAAGAGTTTATATGGACAACATAATCAGAGAAGCATTTGTCAGCAAGTATTTTGCACCTGGCTCTAGCTCTACTGAACTCCTCGTAGTCGGCGCGTAGCAATGAATATTTGTACCGAGCATGAAGTGACTTCTTGAGCACGACTAGTTTCTTCAACTCGGCATTGAACCAACATGGAAAACGTGTGGCCCCAAGTTTCTTCATAGGTGTGAACTGTAGAACTGTAGATCTGATAGTTTCCAAGAACCAGCTGAAGATACTGTCTTGCATTCCTGGGATCCTATAGTAGACTGTACCCAATTTGTTGAGGAGACTCTGATATATCATATCAAGATCACATCTGTTGAAATCAGGGACATAAAGTGTGCTTTTTTGATCGGCAAAGGTATCCACATTCAGATCGATAGATAAAGCTGGGTGGTGAATATCTTCAAGAGTTAGAATATTGTCCAATGCATGTGAGACTTTAGTAGAACTAGACGAGGAAAAGACCAGATCAAGAGTGACTCCCCTGGCATTAGGCACATTGTTAACTTGATAAAGGGAATGTAGAGTTGCCAAGTCTATCAGTCTTCTAGAGGAGTTACAAGATGGCATAATTATATTGGCAGTCCAGTCTACATGCGGCAGGTTGAAGTCACCAAGGAGGAGACACATGGAGAAGTTGGGCCCGGTTGATAAGATCTCATCAACACCTTCACAAAAGCGATCATAATCAGCCGATGGTCTTTGTGGGGGTATGTAAGAGGTTACAATAAGCATATTTATATGAGGGTTTATCTGGAGACTCAAAAAAATACATTCAATATCGGGAACGGGAGATGGCAATTCCTTGACTTTCAACTCTGATTTGATCGCAACAAGAACTCCTCCGCCACTGCATTTGTTGCTGGTTATGCAGGAACGATCCTTCCTAAATATTTTGTAGTGAGGAGGAACAATTTCCTGATTTAATATGTCATCTGAAAGATTAGTTTCCAGCAAAGCAACAATATCGTAGACAGCAGTGGATAATAATTTCCTAAAAGTTGCCAGCTTAGTGCGGAGTCCATTGACGTTTTGCATATACGCTTGGAGGTTGTTGCGATCGGGCGTGACTAGTTTTTTTTAATCTTAACAATCTTAGGTACTCCATTTCGATATTTAATCGTGAGATCAGTATCACCATTTTTCCTTCGCGTCTCCAGAGTATCACGAAGTTCCTTGAGGTGCCTTCTTTCCTCGTTAGTCCTGTCTCTGGAGACACTGACATTCTCTAGTCTTGAGTCAATTCCAGTGAGAGCTGATTCATTAAATTCTCTCGTAAATGTGGCAACGCTAGATCGATCCTTGAAGCACACTTTTAGTGGTCTAGGCTTCCTTTCCGAAGAATTCTGACCAATTCGAAAGAAGCTATACTCCAGCTCATTGTCAGACTTACAAAAAAACTCAACCAATTTAGAGACTAGACCTTTATCATGCGTGATTCTAGCCTGTACATCGGTACTATTTTTTTCTTCGATCCCGTATAATATAATATTGCAGGAACGAGATTCTCTGTCAGCAATTTCGTTAAGAACCATTTCCAAGGGGTTGTCATTCGTGGCCGAGATAGATCTTACTTCAGTTTCTAGAGAGTCAACTCTGTCAGCAACAGCCGCTAATTTTTCTAATTTGCTTTCAACTGCTACTAATCGAGGTTCGAAGTCATCAATTTTTGCAGCTAGAGATTCCAGTTTGCTTTCGATGCTACTCGTAGCGACTCCAATTTCTTCCTTAGTAACCAAGGTATTGAACTTGGTGAGAATCATTGATAGTTTTTCATTCAATTCATGAAGAGGGTCGCAAGAAACTGGGCAGTCGATTCTTCCACATTTCCAAGTTTTAGTAACTCCTTCTGCGATCTTCTTGTATTCCGAAGAAGACAATTTGACGCAATCTGGGTGGAACCAACGTTTACAGTCATCTTCACATTCCACCCCCTTGTCAGTCACTTTCTTACAGCAAACTATGCATATAGCTTTATCTCGGAGGGCGGATGCCATTATATTTATTTATGATTAGGAGAAATATGGGATCAACAGTAGCTACTCGATTCACCACTGATATCCACAACTCAAACTGCAGCTTAATAAATGAGTGTAATTTCATACAGTAGTTATCCACAAAGACGACAAAATATAGAAGGCTGTGGAAATGCGACAGACGCAGGTTCGTTTGCTTGGCCCAGTTCCTCCGTTCCACAAGTAGGGTTATGTTCGGCAGACAATTTTATTGACAAATAGGGCAGGACAAATTTGGGAGGATAACACGTAGTTAGAAGAAACAAATTGTAAGTTAATGGTTTAATACATTGATCTTACTTCCAGTATTGCGATCCAATACAATTTGTTGGTAAACTGGACGTATGCCATTAATAATAAAGAGAATACGATGTCACTGTACAAGCAAGATAAATCGTGATATCTAACCAGCAGACGATATTGGAACATTATACAGCATGGATCATAATTATAAGCCCAAAAGCAAACATGATTGTTTTGGTATTTTAAAGGAATAAAAAAAAACTCCAAACCAAATGTTACAGTTACTAGTATAAATTCGGGATGGTGAAGTCATTTGTTTATGTTTAGGATCTTTATAGTTTTATTTTGTACTCTAATATCCTTGAATTCAGGGCGTCGGTTTCTTTTAGTGCGTTAACTCTCCGATAGTCTTTACCGCGAGATTACATAATAATTAAATGTGGAACTACACTAATTAAACATTTTGATCAATCTTCAAGTTATATCGTGTGAGTAATAGAGTCTTACCTTGCTCTCACAACTTTTGTGACAGACGTATTTGCACACTGAAACAAACAAATTGTTTATTTTAATAAAATAATAGCATGAAAAACATTCACTCACATTAGGTTTACAATAGAAACTACTCATCAAGATTTTGAAGGCAAAATTATATATTTTTTGCACTTTTAAGAACTTATCGAGTTTCTTGGATACATAATAAATATAAGTAAAGAATAAATACAATTCAAGGTGCTGGAAATATAGCCATTGCTATTAAGGGTCCTAGCTCATAGTCATAAATATATATATATATATATAAACTGAGATCAATATATAAAAATGTTATAAAGCGGGTTTCAACATTTGTGATTACGTCTTCACTGATATTAATTTGTTTAAGATCAAATAATTTAATGACATATAGTAAAGAAAGGTTTATTGTAAAAAACTAAAAATCTCATCCTAAATAAAAAAAATCCACATAAGGACAAAAACAAAGCCAAATTTCTTTAAGACGATTTGTGACATGTCTGTGCTGCTAAATCCCAAGTTACGAGTTATCGACCAAACAAAGAGAAAAGTGGCCGAGAAAGAAATTTATAGCCTTGCATGAGACTATGCGGTCTATAATTATTTAGATTGTATGAAGAGAAAAAGATATTAATGATGGGTGAAGAACGTTGAGACAGATTCGATAATTTTTACCTTTTGTTGCATCGTATTTTTTTTGTTTTAATTTTTGGACATTTTCCTGGAAACTGTAATGTGATGAACTATGAACAACCCAAGTTGATTTCTGGAGTGAATGTTTACTTTATACTAGTTTTTGCAATTCGACAGGTTTTCTCGCATTTTGGTTATGTGCTACTCTACATTCTCTCTACACTGAATACCCTAGAAATGCAAATGTATTAGAGACTCGTTAATAGAAAACCACAACCCAAGTTGATTTCTGGAGTGAATGTTTACTTTATATTAGTTTTTGCAATTCGACAGGTTTTCTCGCATTTTGGTTATGTGCTACTCTACATTCTCTCTACACTGAATACTCTAGAAATGCAAATGTATTAGAGACTCGTTAATAGAAAACATCCACTTCGTTAACATTATTAAAAAAATGCATTTCGTAAAGTAAACAAATGAAAAACAGAACTCTTTTTAGTTTCAAATTAGTTTAAAAAGGGAATTCATTTCACTGTCCTATTTTACCATCGCAAAACAGTTAAACAGTTTTACGTAAAACACATGTAATATGATTGACTATACTTTGGTACAGCTAACCCGAAAAAAATTCAACTTTGATTAAAGACCTATCATAACTTACCCAGCAATTGTAAAAACGTAAAACTCATATAACAGAATGATAAATATCGTTACTAACACCAAAGATATCACATACATTGATGTATCATTCATTCTATTCGATCAATAATACCAATTATTATTTTAAAAACTGGATACAGTTGAATCATGAGGATGGGGTGTGTACTTCTCTCACTAGTCAAAGGTTATGTAAATAAAATGATTATGTTTTATCAAAAGTATTGTGCTCAGACAAAACCGGATTTGAAATACACATCGAAACAAGATTCAGATATTGGCATTATGATGAGAGAGTCAATGGAATGATGTAATTAGTGTTTAGTTTGAACTCACCTCGGCAGACGGAGCCCTGTTGATGGATAGGTTGGTGACAAAGATTGCAAGGTCGTGGCCGCTTGAACTGCTTGTTGCGAAACGCATGGTTCTGAGAGTCCGCTTCGGGCTGCAAACAAAATATGTGGATTAAATATTTATCAAAACTACAGTCTACGAAAGTGAGTTAGGGGGACTAAATTGAGATATGCTACAACTAATATTCACAAGACCGATTGTATAAATAATCACACTGCAGAATTATTGGACCAAGTGTGCATCCATAGTCTCTTCTTTAGAGTAAGAACTTACTAATAACTCTTTAACGACATGTTGTTATGAAGGACTTAATTTACCCACATCTGCCAAGAAATAATCAAGAACTAATAACATTTGTTTGAATGGACGTTAAAACTATTAAAAATACAAAAGGAAAACAACAACAACAGTGCAGTGTTTTTTTGCTCCCTTTTCAGTCACCAAGACAGACATTTCTGGAAATGGACAATATTGTTTTAAAACTAAAACTCAAAGGTGTATCGATGCCCAAAAATACTTTAGACTGCTCTTAAGTCAAAGAAAAGCGTGACTTAAACAATAATTACATTTAGGAAATGCTTAAAAGGACTTCGAACAAGAGTGTACAAACTGCATCCCTATCAGTATGCAAGCGTTATCACTGCTCTGCATGCTGCAGCAGGGTTGGCAGCGCTACTATCGGCACATCCTGTTACTAGCAAGGCAGTGTGACAACATAGTACGTTGTATTGAGGTTGTAAACCAAACTGCCAAGACATGTGACATTGTTTGAATTGAAAATACACTTAACTATCTCGTAGCTTTGTACTGTAGTAATTCAGTGAATATATTCTAAACAATTTAATGCATGGATCGGCTCGGGATGGACGAGTGGTTGAATGCTGTACAACATGTTTCAACCTATGCAACATTATGGTTTCAAACCCTTTCACTGCTGGAGTGATCTGATTCCAGCACTTCAACACCGGGAGTGGAGTGACTCTTCAAAGTGACATCCGATGCGATATCTCGACAGTAATCCATCGTCAAACCAGTCATCAACTTGCGAAACCGAGCCACCGGGTTTGCCTAACAGCTATCAGTTATCGCTACTTGAGTTGATACTTTGAAATCCTAATGGTGGACGGATTAAAACTGAAACGCATGAAAAAGTAATTCAGAGTGTGAAAGACGCTTTAAGTTTTTGTTGTGTTTGATCTTTTAAAATGTTATGCGTTGTTGCATATAAAGAGAGAATTGGTGTTAAAGGAATTCATCGGGTGTAAGAAAATAAATATATAAAAGTAAAATTAAATTCAACAGTCCTTTATAATACTCTTATGAAATGGAGACGCTACTAAGGTTAATTAAAACCCAATATTAATAGAAGGTAAGAGTGGGATGAGTGAGACGCCTCTTGTAGCTTTGCTATTAACTAGAACAGCATTATCTTGGGTGTTCTTTCGTCGTTTACACACAGTTCAAGCAATTGTGTTTATTGATCTATTGATTTCTTTAACGGCTAGTTTATAGGTAAGAATCTACCAAGAGGTAGGTAGGCCTATACACACTTTTTAAATATGTTCAAACTTTCGACGCCCTAGTTTTAGTTCACACTAAAATACGTATAAACCAAATTTCACCAGCAAAACTAGCTTCCACTATAAACTCTCTAACGTTTCCCACATTCCCGAATTTATAGTCCGCTAGTTTCGACAGCAAAACGCATTTAAATGACAACCAATTCCTTCCACGTTCCCAGCAGAAAGGTATTACAAACTGTTCCTTGTACGTGAACCTGTTGAGAAGAAGATGTACAGTACAAATGTGGATGCAAATGCAAATACAAGGTACCAATTGTGTATGCTAAACAAGTCCTCCTTGTATATGGGCTGTAATGGGGCCATAATACGGAGCCAGTTTCGGCGGACTTGTGAGATGAAAATAAACCGGTTGAGGTGGTGTTTTGCCCAACTGTTTATCATAAAAACATTGAAACAAGATATGTTTGAAGTGATTACTAGGAGTAGTGGGGAAAAAAACGAAAAACAGAAAGATTGAAGGAATCAGTGGTAAAATAAATTGGAGCTATGATAATAGTAGGTTGAAACAAAGAGAAGTAAGTTGAAATGAACTTGATGAATTTGATAGCTACAACAAACACTATGCAGGTAAAACAATATTGAGAAGTCCTACTGAAAACATTACACTTGAAATTTCGACCCTTCTTCAAATTTCAATATGATTATTTTGTTCATATTCCTTGACTATCGTCCCATTTTGCATTTTATGTCTTTGGTCGGTCTTATCCATCGCGGTGTAGAACAAATCGTTCTTGAATGTGTAATAAATCATAAACTTGAATAATACTTTTTCGTAAGAATAAATCACTTACGTCAAATAGCTTAATACTGAACAATTGAACAATTCAGTATTGAGCTATTTGAGGTAAGTATTTTATTCTTACGACGATATTTGTAGCTCAGGGGCTTTATAATGAATTCAAATACTTTTTCAAATCGGAGATATTCATTCATCGTACCCAACAAACCAAGTAATGAAGGGAAAATGTATTGCGGAAGTCTTTGACTCCGGCATATTACCTTTAACTCTACGGATAAAAAGAAACTACTTTAGCTCAACAATAAAAATGTATTATAAAAAGTGGGTTTACATTTTTTTTCTTTAAAGTGAGAAAATGTCCCAAGATGAATTAAAGTGCAGTACCTCCAACTCTAATCGAAGTCACCCAGACTCCAGACAATAGTCCCTGGAGACAATGGTGTCACGATACTAAGGTCGCCGCAATGACCCCGGCTGCTCCGGTTCCCATGGGATCATCGCCACTCCTTCGGGATCTTATTTGTGTCATCTTCCCAGGAACAGATTGTTTCAATTGCTACACAAATAGTATGTTTTGAGTGTCTACTGTACGCAAGTGGTCATCACAAACTCTTTTAATGGAAAGTGGTCCAAACATCACATTTTAACAAATTTCTGATACAGGGAAAAAGCTATTACCATAGTTTTCATGGTAAGACGTAAACCCGCGACCGATTACGATCCAACGATGAAAACGGGGGCTTTTGAGGGGTTTTAGTGGGTAAAAATTAGTTTTCCTACTGTTGACTCCAACAACATAAAAATTTGCGATTTCTTTCTAATCTATTTTGTTGAACTTAACAATAATTTGGAGTATCGAAGCGTTGTTGTTCATATTTAGGTTAACATACATCTTATTTGCGTTCCCATTTTTATTATAAGAGTAATATACTGTATTCATGACAAAATTTCTCCAATCAAAAGTAGAACGTTGGTGGTATAAAACACGTTTTTTGTAGCCAACATCGATATAATTTCGACTAACAACCATTTACAATTTCAAAACCTAACTCTCAAACAGCGACAGGAAGATTGCAATCCAGTTCAAAGTACTTCATAGAGCATTTTCGATAACAAGTTGTGATTAATTGGGCATTCAGTTTGAACATTAAAAGGCGGGCTTCATGCAAAACAACCATGGTTAGGCGATAATGCTGTTTAATATAACGACCGCGTCGATCTGACGATAAATGTAAATGAAATCGCATAACGCGGCGAATCAAAGAAGATCTTCGACACATTTAACGAGAACGGTTCTTGTTGGAACACGTGGGCTGCGAATCGGTTAAACTGGTTTGAATGTATTCGGTTGTTTTGTTCATCGGGATGGAGGAATTAACATTTTAAATTTCATGCCTGGGTTTGTACATTAAAGATTTCTATATAAAGTCTTGTTTGTAATTTTAAATTTAACTAATTTCAAGTTTTGAAAGTTAAGGTACATATTTGTAATATGTTGTAATATTTGTAATGGATGACAATAAGCTCTTGCCATATGACAGTAAGCATTTCCCGAAACAAGGGATGGATTGTGGATCAAGCTGCTATTTGTTTATTGGGCTTTCAAATATTGATGCCTTCTTTCTACCAAGGTCACAGTTTGGTACGAACAACAAGATCGTGATTTAGATGTTCTCAAGTAAATTCTGATGTAGAAAAAATAATGGAACCATTATTTGAGGTTCAAATTTTATTTCGCTTCTCCCATGGTTTTATAAGTAGGCTAATTAATAAATTGCTATGAATAATGTGATTACAATAAGGTTTTGGTTTTGTCATGTAGAACCTTTTGTTTTCGAATCTACTGACACATTTGCAGATAGTTTTTATATTAATCATAGGTTTGCTAACTGACCAATGTATAATCCATGTATTCTATCCCACTTTACTCTACAAACACGGAACATTGCTGAATTTACTTTCAACTTGACACTAATTAACAGCTATTACATGTGCAGAGTGGTGTATAGTGTAGAGCACTTCAGAGCTGCATAGCAACATTCCGGTGGGAAGGTGCGCCTGCCACACCTACTATGCATGCTCTGCTTTGCTCTCGGTATTACCACCTTAGCGATGCAGGAGAGGAAGGATACATCGATGAGTAAAACACACTTAAGAATTCATCTTCTTCAATCAGCTGAAGAATTTAGAGTTAGTTCCTGTACCAGCTTATGCAGAGGGAGTTTTGCTGTTTACTGTTAGTTTTCTTATTCAAACGAACCCAAAAATTAGTTTAACCAAGTATGTTAAACAATTGCTCTGTTGACATTACTTATCCTCTGATATTGTAACAAAATATTAAATCACAGGTGGTAAATATACCTAAAAACTATAATTGTTGTAACTAACCATTCTACATAAACGTCACCAACTCACTCAAATTTAACGAAAATGAACGAAATTGAATGATAACTCTCCTTGCCCTGTTCATTGCTGTAGTACGTTAATTAATTTTTTTGTGATGACATGTACTCAAAATTAAAGTTATATTATAAATCGTTATAATAGAGGGGTTTTGCTATAGCTTGTGATGTATATTGCTACACTATTATCTTTGTTACATTCTTAGTTTATACCCAAATTCAAACCGTGGCCAAGCAACCAGTACCAATTATGAATTTATTTATACCAATTCATCAATTTTGACAATCCATATTCTGGTTCCAATATGAAAATATGTTTATGTACAATATTATACAACCTTCTTTTTCTTAACACTACTTCACTTTA